TTGAGCCACTAGCTTTGGAGGGCAGGGGCAGAGAAGATGCGGGAGACGAACTGACACCACCGCCCAGGCTCAAGTTTGACGTGAGCTCAACCCACTCGACATTCCTGAGACTCTGCTTGTAAGAGCTCCTTTTTTATTTAGAGGTCTAAAGATAACTAACTACCTACATGAGCACTCCGAATATGTAACCCAAGACTCGTTAGTGGCTGCTGTTTCTGTAGAACTTCTCTGTGTAACCATCTGGGAAAGTAAACAGGACTGAAAATCAAGGAGAGTGTTCCCTGGGGGAAAACTGTTGTTAATTACAGTAATAATAAAGAGGAGATTGATCAATCAACATGGAAGTCTCTTATTTATTTTTTTTAGTTGGCATTATATTTAGTATGCATTTCTCTTAATTTTCCCTTCTCATTTAAAAATTCTGATAGGGACTTAAATTTTTCTAAAATTTAACATGTTTTAATCAGCAAAAAAATAATTTTCAAGTTTGAACTTACGTAAATTTGAAAAAAAATCACACAAGACTTTAATGCAACAATAACCATACAAATAAATTTAGCATTTAAACTATACATTAAAGGATATTCCTGCTCTTAAGTGCAGGTAACTTCAGTTATTTCTCACTGAATATCCTTTGTATGTTAGTCAGTAAACACAGAAAGTAGGACAGTTTGGGCCGAGCCCGTGGTGCACTCGGGAGAGTGCAGCACTGGGAGCGCAGCGTCGCTCCCGCCGTGGGTTCGGATCCTATATAGGAATGGCCGGTGCGCTCACTGGCTGAGCGTCGTGTGGGCGACACCACACCAAGGGTTGTGATCCCCTTACCAGTCACGAAAAAGACAAAAAATAAAAAAAAAAAGTAGGACAGTTTGGTTCTCACTTTCTTGTATAGAAATTTAAGGACTTGCATGAATCTTGTAGGAGCAGGGAATCATCGTGTCACTCACCAAGGTACAATGTGAGACCCAGAAGTCAACATTCACTTCTATTTGTAAGGAATAAGGAAACTACACTGAATGTGTGTGACTAGAGTAAGCCCAGCCAATTGCCATCACTTGTCCGTGCACACCACAAGCCCCAACCTCATGACATCTCTAGACAGTACCCTAACATGCCCTGGAGCTTTAGCACGTGCTGTTCCTGCTGCCGGAAATGTTCCTGCCACCCTGCAAAGCATCTCGTCCACTGTCAAGACCAAGTCCACAGCACATGCTCTATGAAGTCCTCTCTCAGGCTTATGGGGCTCTCCCCTTTGTATTTTGTAGCATTTTGTTCATACCTTGATTAGAACATTTATTTCATTGTATTACCTCCTTCCACTAACCTGAGAGGTCCTTGCAGTGGCTTCTATTTCTACCACAGTGGAGATACTTAACAAACATTTCTTGAATGAAAGGGGAGTGTGGGTGGGGGTCATCATCATTTTGAGTATCTGATGTAAGCTGTCCCTGTGGCTCACTCAGCAGCTGCCCTGGCTTGATCGTGTCCCTCAGACTCGTTGCTGTGAGACATGTCAGGGCTGACCAGGCTTCTCCTTGCTGCGAGCTGAAGGCATCCCTGCCCAACACAGTGCCTGATCACGGAAGGCCTCGAGCGCTCTGCAGAGGAGCCGCAACTTCAACATTCAGGCACTGGGAACTGTAGTATAATTTGGGGGCTGAAAGTACCACTTTGCAGCCACAAAAACCTTGGTTCAAATGCCTGTTCAGNATTTGGGGGCTGAAAGTACCACTTTGCAGCCACAAAAACCTTGGTTCAAATGCCTGTTCAGCCAATTACTAGTTGCTTAACTTCAGAAATCATTTATCCTGTCACAGTCTCATTGGGGAGACGTGTGACGAGACTCACTTGAGATCAGTAACTCTGCAGCACGTTGGGTGGGATGGAGGAGACTGAGAACAGGGGACTAGTGAGGGCTGCCAGTGTCCTGCCAGAGCCAAGTCACTTGCAACCAAAGATTCAGAAATAATGTCAAAACTTAAAGTGGATTCTAGTTGACATTTTTGGCCAAAAAAACATTCTAGTTGAAATGTTGACATGTTTAGCCAAAAAACATTCTGCTGGATTTTACAAACATTCTGAAATTTCTAATGTCTTTATAACTAAGTGTCTCAGAACAAGTTATTCTAAAGTTCTTCAGAAGAGAGAAGCCTGTTTTTTTGGTTTTTTTTTTTTTAATATCCCAAGATCATGGCAAGGAGTCCAGACACAATTGGTAAGACTAGCCAGGACTGAAGGAACAAATAATTTAAGATTCATTACTCTGTGCCAGTGGTGCCGTCAGTGCTTTAGACCCTGTTGGTGACTAAAGCAACAGGAAGTTTAGCACAGCTCTTTTCTCCTACGTCCATGTCAAAGCACTACCAAAGCTATTCTGTGAGGCCTGGGAGAGGGTTCAGTAAGCCTAGGAAGCAGGTGGTGTAATTTAAGAAACAATGAAAAAGTTTTGCTCCCAAATATCTAATTAAGTTTTCTTACCAATGATGCTTGAAAATTGAAGGAATCCTGTCCAAAGCAAGCACCTTGGGTGGGAGCACATTTCCATTGAAAATAGGCTGATGAGGATAATCTGAGGCTCGGATTGAAAATAACTGATCTGGGCCGGCCCGGTGGCGCACTGGATAGTGCGCCGCTTGGGAAGTGCGGCAGCGCTCCCG